TTTGAGTATAGTACAGATTTCTACTGGAAAGTTCAATTTGACACCTGTAAAGAAAGTTTGAAATAAAACAAATCGAAGGAAACAACTGCAAGTTACATTTGTTTTTATTGACAACTTGATGTAGGCAGATTTTGGCCTTGATTTGACAATTGAAATCAATCTGATTGAATAAATATGCATCATACCTTCACTATTGTACACTGGGATCAACGAAAACAGTTGCTAGTAATAGAAAAACCTATTTGATATATATGTCAATACTAAAGTACCTACTTGAAGATGAATGGGCAATATATAATGATAATAATCCCATTTTCGTAATGAAATCAAGAGTGATTCATTATTCAATGAAACCACTATCAGAGTGTCATTGAAATTAACAAAAAGACAAAGCAAGTAATGGATGAAAACGAGAGCAGTTTTCATTCATTCATTTATTACTTCTTTGATTCATTTACGGATAACCCCGAATACAAATATTTAATACCTAAAAATTTCAGAATATTCATACCTGCAAAGTCAAATGATTGATTGAATGTTGGGAAAACCTTTATTGGATTCCTGATATTTTGGTTGCAATCTACTTTCATTAACATTAATATTTTGTAAACATTCGTAATAATTTCAATCCGTGATACGAAATAGTTATTCATTTTCCTCACTGTCATTTCCAAGCAAGGTAAGGCTTCTCCACCTGTTTCAAGTTTTAGAATACTTTACAGTAAAAGCCAATTACTTCATATTGCTGCAAATCAAACTGGCAAATTCCCTGCTGACTCAGTTTATTTGATGTTGGCGACTATGTAAATATAAATATAACTACCAACCTCACGATGTGAATGTCTACATAATTTATGAATTATGGAAACCAGATATGTAACAAGATGACAACTCTTGTAATTTTTCGAAACCGTATTCATTTTTTCCGGGAGATACAAGCGCACTTATTATAATGAATCGTGAAATAAATCAAAAGGACTTGTTATTGGTGGCGAGTATGTGGTATGATAATGATTTGGTTGGTGAATTTCATATGAAGATGATAAGATTTATGATTGAAGTATTTTGTGTATAGGTTGATGTTTAGAAAATGATTTTTGTTTTTTATTGTTTCAAAACAAGTTCAAATACTTTCAAAAAGAAAAGAAAATATGAGTTATATCGATAAAACCATATACATTATGAATAATGAGAAGAAATACTATACTTATTAATTACAATTACTTTTCACTACAAATCTCAAATGACACATATACAATGATAATAATAGTGTATATTTATTCGTCTTAGGAAATTGTTATTTCGCTGTTATATATTTTAGAAGAGTTTCAAGCTCTATGGTGGTTTTAATATTGTTTATTGAGTGTGAGAATTGTAGAGATTATACCCTTGTCAGAAGTCAAATTGTCAAAAAGACTAATTTCCGAAAATATTTTGTTTTCCAAATTCATAGCCTTGGTGCACCGCACTGTAATGATCGATCTAGTTCATTACCCAAATATAGTTATGATATTCGGCAATTAGCAATAATGCAATAATGCTGATAGGTCACCTTCTGAAGATAACAGATACATCACCTCTGCAGATGTACCTTCGGTAAGTGTACCTTATGATTTGTATTGTTGGCTTGTTGGATAATATTTTTGAAAAAGCGTAACATTGTTGAGGGCTATGTTGTACCTTCATTCCAATAAACTTGAGTATTTTCAACTATAACTATTATTTCTATATAAATTCTACCATCTGAGTTAGAACCTAAACCATGAGCCATTTGGGCCGCAACACTCTGATAATTTTTCTTCCACACAAATCTTTAATGTGCATGAAGTATAATTAATTGTCTGACCTAAATGTTACTTTAGTAATGATTAGTACTATCTATAGTATGTTCAACACACACAGTACAAGTTCAGTATATTTAGAAAATTTTATCAGATTGTTACTGATTATATTCGTTTCAAATCATGTATAGTAGATAATTGAATCGATTTTGTAATTTATGAATTAACGTACATAATAAACGGGTCAAAACATAATACGGAACTCTTCCTCATAGGACCAAACTGCAGTAATATTAGTTACGAATGAAAGTGATAAAAAAACATAGAAAGTTTAATTTCTAATTTTTAATAACGATATTTCAGACTACATGGAAAACAATTTCATGATTTGATATCGTGTCCGATTATTATTTGTTCACTTAGAAATCAATATAACCGACGTGTTCAAATCAATCATTCCTACGTTATTGTCTGCAAAAACATTTTCATTAATCAAAGCAGACTTTTCAATTTTAAACTACCAAATGCTTGCAATTTCGTGAAAATGTTGCTAGCAGAGTGACTTCCAAACCTAAAGAGATGTTTCACCTAGGAAAATTATCTGTGTTGTTGTGAACATGTTGCTTTGTTTGGATTACAATTTTCAGCAATATTTTGCACTCTATCAACTACCAAACTTATTTTCAGTCTCCCAAATTCTTCATCTGTCAGTGAACGTCCAATACTCAACCATTAATTAGAAACATTTTTTGAACTGCTCTCATTTAAGTGTGAAGACGACAAAAAAAAATTATTTCTCTGTACAATTGTCCAATTTTTTCCAGTCTCTTCGCAATAACACAACAAACCGAACAGTTAGTTGTTTTTGTTGTATCATCTTCAGTTGGTTTAAATGCCACTGCTGTACCGACGAACTTTTTCTCACAATTTCTCAAGACATTAACGCTGTTCGTTATTCATGAGATCTTACTCAAAAACCGCGTGATTCGGTTATAAAATTTTATGCTCTAGTCGATTTCGACCCTTTGGGTGGTATTTTTTGCTTCAAACTTGTGTTGAAACGATACGATAAATCATTCAATTGTTTCTGTCGATTATTTTATGGTTTGTCAATGGTGGTTGGGAGAAATGTAATAATTTTTGTCTAGCAGAGCATGTAATTTTGTTCTAGATGGTGAGCATGGCGTGGTATATCACATTTACACTTGTGAGTTTTACATGGCCAGTTGAGTTTTCGATAAGGGGTTATGGTCCGATACCCATCGCTTCAAGGGGAATCGTTTTTACTAATATGATGATGGGTGTAAATTATGTTCAATTATAAGGCGTCAAATCGAGTGGTGAATTACTGAAGAGATTTTTCATAATCGGGGATTTTGATTTCTCGAGTTGATTCTCGAACTTTCGAAAAGAAAATAGTGCCGGAAAACGATGAACTGTAGTTTTTGTTTCTTTCAATCTTTCCTTGTTTACAATTTCAAAAGATTTTACGAAACCTATCGGTGATATTAGTGACCCTTTTTGGATATTTTCACCTTCCACAATCTGAAAAATATGAAAATTGTAATGAAGAATTTCATAGAGGTGTAGAAAGGGTTAACTTTTCAGTTCACCTCGATAAGTTACTTCGTAAATTCAAAGTATTTTTCACAAAGAAAAATATTCTAAGCATGAATGACTTTTATTTAATAATTTTGCCTTTCAAAAAACGAGCTATTACTTATCTTAACGTTTCGGAGGCCTTCGTCTTCAGAATTGGAAAATTCCATTACAATTTTCGTATTTCTTCTGATTGTGCAAGGTGAAAATACCCAAAGAAGATCCATAAGATCTGATTTTCTCCTCAGAAAATGACTTTTGTTTAATACCTTCGGTGAACTTATGAGATGAGGACAAAATAATGTATTCATAATTGATGTCTACGGCATCATTTCATAAAATTATGCCGGGATTTGAATTTGGATATTTCATTCGAAATTGGGAATGTCTTATCATATTTGTTGTGGATAAGCTAAAATGGTTTCCGAGAAAAAACAGTTTACAGTGTTTGCAGAAATTATTAAATGAGCAAAATTATTTTTATTTTCAAATTTCTATTGGAGAATTTATTTGAGCAGATATATTGCAATAGGAGGGCCATTATTCAAGCAGATGTTGAAGTTTAATGGCCAGTAAGATCAACAAATTTCAACCCGTTGAAGAAAAATGAAATTCTTTTTGATATACCCTGAAAATATTCAGTGTGCTGTTTTTTGGTGTTTATGTTTTCCCAATTTCTGTTTCAAAAATTGTTGTTAAATAACTTTTTTATTTATCAACCGATTTTAAAAAACTAATTTCAATATTTTATTTGGTATCACAAGAGGGAATTCGACAGACACGTTTCTAAAATTGGAGTTTAACCTCTCAAAGGTAAAAGGTTTTGAAGAACCGCTATCATAGTGAATGATACTGGAATTCAAAAAAGATTACTTCAAATATATATTCAAGAATGCCATGGAAAAGGAGGTTTTCAAACGTTCAGTGACTATAATCTTAATTAGAGTATATAATGAAAACTGTCCCTATTCCATTATTCACTTTAACAGTGAATTCAGCTCAGGCAATGACTTTTTTAGTTATAAAATCAAAAATATTAAGTGTATCAGAAAAGGTTTGGTAAATGCTATGTGAAGATAAGAGTATTCCAGATACTCACGGTTTGAATAGAAATGGCCTTTCCAAATGAGGCATACTATATATTTCAAAATGATCAGAATGCACTTTCTATCCTTTTGTCTATTATACTAGTCACTAAAATTTTGCAATTGTGATTTTCTGACATCACCTGAGGTGGTTGATATACGTCTCATCGTAATCACCTAGATGCAATATCAATTGACTTTTGAAAAATGAAGTAGGTAGGCGTGAAAAAATGTCACAACCTTATCCAAAATCATCTCAGAAATTCAACAATGTTGAAACATGCAAGGTGTTCCATTCAAACCACAGCCAACAACGGAAAAACTTGAATGACCAGAAAGTGATAAATATATCAAAACTCTCCTCTTCACATACCATTTACCTATACCAAATCTCATTCTGTTACACCTAATACTGTAGAAGTTATGACTTGTCTATTATATGAAGTGTGATATAAGAAATGTGAAAATATTATTTTTGAAATGAAATCAGCAATTGGATGTCCATAACTATAGAAATGTTTCTCTTTTTTTACAGATTCGTCACAGGTTTGGCTGCTACGATGAGATTTCAATCACAGGTTCAAGAAAAGTTCGACATTGCAATTGGGTGCGATTCGTGAGAGTGTCTAATGCTTTCAATCCCTCTGTGAATTTTGTGGCGACGAAAGTCAGAGGAGAACCTGTATATGAAGCTGTGAAACCTATAACCCCCGACACCGAATTACTTGTATATTACTTACCTGAACGACCTGAAGAGCTGTTTTTTGTGAGGATGAGAGCTTCATTGTACAGACAAACCATGGACTCGATATTAGAAGGTAGGAAATTGTTGTGTAATAATAATACAAACTAGAATTGTTTCAGAAACAGTGCGTTCTTCTATTAATTCTTTGAATTTTCATAACTTCACATGACTTCAGTTTTGTTTGCAAATGAAGAGTTGAGCAAAACTCATGGAAATAATTAGAATAACAACAGTAAATCGTTGTATGTATTAATTCGTCACTAGAATAAAGTTTATTCGAGAAAGAAGCATTTCTAGGTAATATCAATAATTTTGGGGTAGGTTTTCAATTATTCAATAGAGATTATTCATGGGTCCTGTATTTTCCATTTTATATTCTAGTACTGTGGAAATATATTTGGTAAGATATCAATATGAAATGAATGTATAATGAGGAAGGAAAACTAATCAGTTTCAATGATCTCTGACGGGCGTGTTTTTAAAAATTGTAGATTTTAAGGGTCGAAAGAATGGCCCTTAAAACTGAAGAATTGATTTTCACTTGCTATTGTCCAACCTATGTTAGGAATCACACGTTGAAAGGTAAGACATTGTTAGTCCTCAGCTTGCCCAATATTCGACTTTTGAGGGGTTGCGTTCGTAGGGGTGCGACAGCTGGTCAACGAAAAAACATATTTCACACAGATTTTTTTCAAACCTATACTTGATGTTCAACACACTCTTCATCTTGCACTGTTCTTAAAAATATTTGAAAAAATATCAGTTTTTACAACTTTTTATTTCTGTGGCACAAAAGTATCATATGTGTTTTCTCTTTAATTGATTATGAAATATCACCTAGGTTAATTCGATAATTTACTATTCCCTAGTAGAGAGGACTGGATCCTGCGGGAGAAGGAAATATTAAGAGCAGATAGTTGTTGGTTCACAGATGGATCAAAAACACCTTGTNTAGCCCTGGATGTGCCTTCACGGGCTAGAACATCGGCCTCCCAAGCTAGAGTGACCCTATTTTGAGTACTTAGCTCCTTGAGTGTGCTCAGACAGCTTCTCACTAGTCTTGAGAAGACTTGAAATGAGCTGAATGCCTTAATTGCCGCTTGGCTGTCGGAGAAAATGGCAATAGTTTTATTTTTCGGTGTAACAAACAACTCTCTTGTGAAAATACGAGTATATTGAATGAATTTCAATTCTACATCTTTACTTACCTGAATTTTTGATAATAGTTTCTCTAGTCAGATGAACACACGGTCGGTATCTGTTTTTCACGGAAGAAATTCTAGAAAACACTGAAAACTCCGCTCGAAAATATTCTATACTCACGTTCACTCATGCTAGTTCCAAAAGGAAGCCTTGCAGTATAAGGTATACACATAGCTAAAATATTACACAAGGTACCTGGATATTCAACAATAGGTTTTAGTTTGTAATAATAATATCGTCTTCATTATCTTCTAATACATTAAGAGCAAATTAATCAAGAACAGTTCATTTATTATATGAAGATAAAAGGCGAAGTTCAATTTACATGATGACAAGTCATCATTCAATTGCTCTTCCACTTAACCTCAAAAATGTTGCCTACTACGTAAAGGAATAAACAAAAAGGATTTTCAATCATCTTAAAATATTTTGACTATAGATTTGTAATAGGTAGGTAGCTATTAGGTCGTTAATAGTTTGAAGATAATAAGAATCGTTTGAAATTGGTATTAAAATGATTAAAGTCATCTCGTTTCATGGGCTTGGAAATGTCATAAATTGTACAGATCTGGTAGCTGAAACTCCTTCTAAAGAAGTCTGTGCCAAAGAATGGTGGAGTTGGTTGGTCTTTATACCTTACATTAATATTATGCACATCAGTTTTAAAAGTAATATTCTGGTGTAAGTAAGACGTCACTTTACTATTAATTATTTTGTGAAACAAAGTTGCAGCGTGTAACTCTACTACCGTTCATATTCAACCAGCCGGTATCCTTCAGTTTATGTGATATTCTTTCTCTTCTTCTACTGTTATAATGTTATAATGAATATTGAATTCACTTCAAATGCGCTAGACCTGGAGTATACTTGGTACATTACCGTAAAACTGAACAGATAAATCATAAACAAAATACAGTTTCAGCTGAAATTGCATCGAAATGTTGTCGTACTGTACAGATGTAACTCGAAAGTACAGAGTTTTCTGTAAAAATATGATCATTCTCGGTTTTTGAGAACATGCATTGATGAATTGGAGTATGGTATGAAAGACTCGATTCAGAGAGATCAAATTTATCTGTATTTATATCTATGACTTTGTAATGTACCCCACTAATAACCCTCTGGGGTTGATGCGGTTTGCTTGAGTAAAAAAAACTTCATCTGCTTCAGTAGTATGACCAACAGTTGTGCTATATATTTTGCGACGGTTACAGTAGAATATTCTTCTCTGATTCAAAATAATTGATTGAAAAGTCTGTCTGGCCTCTGTTCAGTTCGCTGCTCGTAGATACTGTGCAATTCGTCCAACATACGATTTTATTTTCGTATTTGGGTTGGATTCGATAACATTTTGGACAGATTACTCGATTTGATTTCTCGTAATAAATGACTTTCCAGTTTTCTGGAAATAAATTTCCAACAACACTTTGAATTCAATTCGAGAAACAATAAACCAAATCATAAACTTGGCGGAATTGGTTTCGTCCGTAGCGAAGAAACTAACCATCAATTTCCCACGAACTTCGAGCAATGTCTTTGAAGTTCGCCCTTTATGGTCTTCCAACAAATTATTTCGCTCCGGCATATCCCTAGATAGCAGAAAAATGCAACCGGCGCAGTAAATAAACAAATTCTGTAGTAAACATTATACAAATAGAGCTTCAAAACAATCGCAGAGATAAAAAAGCGTAATTTATGAGCGCGGCTAACGCGATGTTGAAATTTCTTCGCGTCTCTACATTGTCCTGAGCATTCTCACGCACTGGTTTTGACCGAAAGCCTTCTAGACTGAAAAAAAATGAATTCCTGCAATGTTGTAGGATATGGCTCTATCATCTGTTGTTAATTGTATTAATTACAGGTGGCGTGGTTTTTGAGTGTTTTGTACCAACTTGAGCAGGTCTGGATTCTACAGATAAATGGTAGTATCTCGTTATATGATGAATTCTGTTGATTCAATAAATATATTATGATATATCTGAACACGTGAGTGAGCATAACTCAGATAAGATAAGATAATATAATACTTGAATTGATGAATCTGTTGAAGTTCTTCTGTGGTGAACAACTTTCGAATGTATGAAGCGAATTTCTTATACCATGTTCAATAAAACGTTATCATATATGATTTCACAAACTATTATTACGAGTTGTAAGTACAGTTTGTGAAGATCTAATCGTATCCGGTGTAGTTTGTGAAATTACTATGGGTTTTCATCTTTGTATGTGACACATAACATTTTCATAATTGAACTTACCTATATTAGCGTAAAGGATGATATCCCACTGGAGTAAGGATAATACGCATTTTGTGATAAATGGATAATTACCTAATTTTCAGTATATCATTCATGCATATTTCTTTCAAATAGACTAATGGTGTAACAAACACAAACTAGACCCACCTGTTATCAACAGTTCATCATCACTTGATAAGTGAAATTTGGAAGCTTTGACTTTTCCATCACCAGAACAAAAATGCTATCTCTCCACGCTTGTTTCGCTAACCAATTTAGCATCATCGCAGATGACAAAAAAATATTCCAGAATAGTCATATCATAATCAATTTTTCAAATTAGCTCATATGTTGATCTCTGAAACTACAATTGTCAATTCTGTTGATGACCACGGTCGACATTCAAAATGTTTTCCTAGGACATATGAGTATGATAGAACTTTCTGGGTCTTCGAACTCGTATTGTCTATTAGTTTTGAAAAACCATTAATTCCGAGAGTATCACAGATGTGTTTGTATATATCGAAGAATGTAATGAATTGAAAAAGGTTCTCCTCAGTTCCAATATTGAATTCACCACTAAAAACTAGCGATCCTTTCGTAATGTTAAAACCGCCAGGAGACACCAGATTTATTTTCGATATAACTTACTTTTAGTGTTATTATTGTGACTGCCTTTTTCGGTCGTCTCCGGTACATATTAAAGACAATCAAAATGTTAACTTGTGCAAAATAGGCCGTAAATCTGTCAGCCTCAGTGTGCCTTGCAATCCAAATTAGCTATTGTTTCATAGCGAGCAGCCTGAAGATGGGATGAGCTGGAAAACTTTTTTCAACATCGTCAAATTAAATAATTAAGGTTATTTATTGAGGCCCATTTACAATGGCCGTTTAGAGTGAATGACAATTGGATGGTTGTTTGGATGGTACAGAGTGTTTCAAAATCAAGACATGCATTTCAGCGAGATAAGAGAAAAACGAAAAAGATGACATTTTTTGGAAATTCGATACTATTTTCTTAATCTTCATTGAAAATGATAAATAGCAAGAATATTTCTGAAATTTTAAATATTTTCAAAAATAGTTCACTATTCAATAAGTTCAATAAAAAGTTGGTAATGCCTATTGGTAACTATGTGAAAAATTATACCTTCCTTAAGGCAGGATATAATTACTTGACGTGAGGCTATTTACTTTTATTAAATTGTTCAGCGAGACTTGATCGCTATCTCACAAAAACTCACGAAATTGAAATATGTTACAGACTATTTTTATAGAGCAGTAAAATGTATTTAAGCGAGAAATTGACCGAATATGTCATTTGGAACTATGAGAAACATATGCAGTGAAAATTTCACGAACTTTCGTCAATTTTCTAAGTATGCATCATTCAACTCGTCACTTGATGAGCTGAAAAAAAAAGAGGAATCTGCTTGTGAGAGAGAAAGTTTCTAGGAAGTTTTCAAGATTGATTGGAATATTTGAAGTGCCAAAGTATGAGTTCATTCGATATGCACTCGATGTTGAAATGTATGTTGAAACTCAGTACTATACAAAAAGTTCTTTACAAGGAGGTGCTCACTAAAAATATCGAAGTCATAGAAGAAGCCTCGAAAACCATCTTCGCTGTCTTATCGAATTTAATTTATCATACAGATTTTTTTTCGAAATGAGTTTGCTTTCATGCATTAACTAAACTTTATCATCCATTTAGTAGCGATAAAGTACAAGTTGTTTAAAGTAGAAATCGGTCATAGAGAGAAACACTGGTTCTCTCTCAGTCTACCCAGTATGCGAATAAAAGTTTGATTACCAAAAAATCTGCACATAATATATGCCTAGGAATAATTTCCTTTTATCAGAATAACTCAAAAACGGTGGTGGATGTTAACAATCAAAACATTGTGAAGTAACTTGGTTTGAAACCCGTTAAAACATTCGATTGACAGAGTGTGCCAGAAATAGTTGAATTTTACATTTATAATTAATTCATGTTCGGTTCTGAAAATATTGAGTTAATGAACGTTTTCAATCCGCGTGGAAGATAATTGTGTGTCTGAAAGTGACTTCAGTTTGAAATGACTTTAAGAGAGTCTGGTTATATTGCTAATTGGAATCTCGATTACTAGAATTATTAGTTTCAAAACAGGTTCACATTAAAAAATATGACATTGAATATGGTTATTTTGGACATCATGAAATATGAAAAATTCTAAGTTTGTGAAATATGACAAGGGCAAGGCAACTGCAAAAAATCTTGATTATGAAATCATCAGACTTGGGCGGACATTTTCAAGGCACCGAACAATGATAGATGATTGCTTTTATCCAAGTGAATATCATGCAAGATGGATCATCCGAGTATAATTAAGGAAGAAAAAAAACACTTTTTGTGAAATTGTTTTTGTTCGAGCGCATCCCATATTGTATAGTATCAAAATATAATGATAAAAAAATAATAACATGTCCGTCCTTCACAGGTAGCTCGAGTGGTGTGGTGTAATTAACGGGCGGAATGCTTGCTTTACAATAAGACCTGTCACAAGGCGGCTTATGATCAGTTGCTTTATATAAAGATTCGACACACCGTAATTTTTGTACAAGGTATAATTTTTCGTATATATATATGACTTTCGCAAAAATATGTTTTGAGCAAAAATAACGATAGTGATAATTTTCTAGAAAACACAAAGGGACAATGGAATTTCTTTTATCGTATGAATGAAGTGTTTTGAAGGTACGATATAACATAAGATGTCAATTGTGTGAAATAAACTCCCAAAATCAACAGATATAAAAACAACTGTAACGTTAACAAAAGAAGTATCAAGTATAAAACTAAAACAACTGTAACATTAACAAAATAAACATCAAGTATAAAACTAGAAGAAAATTANCGTAAAGATTCGAAAGACTGTTAAATTTCATGCAGTAGCAGACGAAACGTTCAACAATGAGTTCTATTAGACAATGGCGTACCGGTCTTGATTAAGTTCTCTCTAATGGGCCAATAATGTCAATCAAACTAAGATTGTACAAATTGTAATACAAGACCAAAATATTTCAGTTATAAAAACAACATACATTTTTAATGAACAACTTCAACTTTGAAAAATGGAACATCAACTACAGCCTGCCTGCTGACAGACCGTGGTAGAATGAAACTTGTACCTAACGTTGCTTGGGGAAACTATTATTACAGCAAAACACGGGTCGCGGTAGTGTGAGGAAGTGAAAACACAATATTCTATACTAGTGGATTTTTACAATTTTGTAAGCTGCTTTCATACCAGCTTGTCGGCATATCTGAGAGGTTTCTTCAATTTGTTTCCGAAGTTTCACCGTTTTCCTTCAGGGAACAAATAGTGATGATGAAACTTCTTCAAAATTTACANCACATAAACGCAGTTCTCCAAATAAAAGAGTTCTTGTACAGTGGAATTCGACGTGTACGGAGTTGAACCTTTCAAATTGCCGCATTCTCAAACACATACATGATTGAAATAATTCTGCTATAAAACATCTTTAGTCAAGCTCTGACTACAAATGATCTATATTCAACATCATCCATTCTTTATAAGCTCTCATCTTTCATTTCAGACTCACCTCTCGATCTATCTATGTCTCTCCTATCAAGGGCTCTAACAGGGTCCCCTCCTTCGGCTGAAGACGAACGAAAATCTGTTTCCGGAGACAGTTCAGCAGCTAGTTCGCAAGGAGATTTACCTGAAACGACAGTACCCACCCCTAGAGCAAGGCCACGGGAGAGGACGTTACTACCATGTGGAGTCTGCAGTAAAGCCTTTGACAGACCTTCTTTACTCAAAAGGCACATGAGGACACATACGGGTGAGTAAAAACAACGATGGCCAAAGTATTTTCAGAGATATACCGACATGACAATTCACTCGACAGGGATAGAAGTGAATTATTGTTAGACCACTTGCAAACGTATTTGATAAATGTTGTTGTAATTTTTATATATGATTTTAGATTTTGAGTAACGTGAAATTACTACAAACCGAAAAAAATTTATAGGAATTTGGATTTTTGTTCAAAAACTAACACGACGACGCGACGAATACAAATTAGTAAATATAATGACTTTTCTCAGAATTTGACAAAACATATTTTCAAATAACAATAAACCTGAATTTTAGAATATTTATTAACTGGTTGTATAAATGTACTTGCAGATTCGACACCCTGCTATATTCATAATCTTTAGCCGAAATATCAATCAGGTATACTCTCAATTTCTTCAGGGACATCGGTGCTCATTTCAGTATCATCTAATTTCACAAATAAACACAGAAATTAAACTGTTTCACAAAACTGGAATGAAGTAGCGAAAAGCGAATGAAGACTAACAACCTTATAGATTTTCACTTTTTTTTATAGTTTCAATAACACCGTCAGCCACAGAGATGTATTAAGAATATTATTTCCTGAATATAGCAACTTCGCATACATGCTTCTACAGAAATTCACAGGTTCAATTTGATATCCTAGTTATGAGATAACTCAAATCAATATGTAAATCAAATAAAACCCATCAATACAATGAACAGATGCAAAAGATTGAAATGAAATGAACTGGCACATTTAATCGATTCACATACTCCCTCGAAAATGAGACAAGAATCCTTCAATTCAAACTCTTCCTTGCATACAAACAATAATCGAAAGTTATTCGTATGATAAGATATTTGAAATTGGAATGCAAATGTTTCTCTGAATTTCAATAAAATCGAAAAGAAAACGCGTCGTATTAGTTATGCATTCAGCCGCATCAAGTTATTATGTCTACTATTATTGACAGATACAGGTTAACGAGGTTGGTCATTCACATACTCACGTAGGTACATTGTACTTTCAAACGAATGTTCTTGCGGATATTTTTTCTATATTCACGTAACGGAAATCATTCAATTTGACAATCGATTTTTTTTTCATAACGATGAATTCAACTAAGAAAATTTCAGGAAATAATATTCACGATTACCACTCGTCCTAAAAATTTTCTCAGATAAATGCCCATTTTTCAAACTCAAACTTTGTTATATTTGAGCGATACCGATGAAGCAACCAGTAGTAAATAAAACCACTCATCTTACATAGGTACTCGTGATTTTATCATGCTGTTGGCTCTCATGATATTGCTAATTAACAAAGTTTTTGTTGAAAAATAGAAATGGAAATTAACTTCCCAGTAGATTTATTTCTGAACCGCTTTGAAGTTATCACTAAGGTACATACTAAGAAATTTGGGTGAACACAAAAATTATGAAGACAAATTACCAAGGTTACACATGCACTTTGCGAATTTAATTTTTCAGATTCAAACATTTAGAAAGTATTAGTGAGGAAGGAATTTAGGTCTCCACTTTTGAATTCAAACTTGATGAAGATCCATAGTAATTTCAAAAACTACAGCACACGATTTGATCTACACAAACTTTATTTGAAAAATATATCACTTGTTTCGCAAGCCCATTAGCTTTGTTAAGTGATTTGAATACTTCAAGTTGTTCTTAGATAATTATTTATAAACGACAGGTAAGCATAATTAAGACTACCTTCAAAAAATTNAGACTTTTAATATCAAAAATCGCTTCTGTATGCGTTCCATATTGACGACATAAGTGGGGTGGATAGAATAGGTACTTATCAGTGCACCATATTCCTAATTTGTTTCTTACGTAATGTTTGAATATTCCAAAAACTTCCACTCTGTCTCACTGAAAACGCATACATTTTGTTTGCTAAGGTGATCATTTTGTCCATATGTCCGTTTATGCTGAAACAGTGATAATGAACGTTAATGAAAGGAATGATCAGAGCAAAGATTGATTTTACTTTTTATATTCGTTCACATCAAAACATTGATGAAGGAAACGAGAAATGTTATTTCGTAATGTAATACGAGAAGCTACTTTTTGTTCAATAGCTTAATAATGGTTATAAAAGATGATACTGCCAGCAATATCCCTAATAATATTAACAAACATAAAAGTAGCACAGAATGTATTCATGATTTTATTTTCGATAGCAAGTGGACTAGCGATTATTCCATGCACTCATCTTTTTGGTATAATGCATTTTTTCAATGGCAAGTAGAGAAGAAATATACTGAAGTTTCATTTGGGAGTGGAACTATCTCAAAGTAAAATGAAACAGTATGGATACATTCCCCCCAGCCTAATAACCCAAATAACAGGGAACACAATAACAGATTGAATTTATTAATTAACCACCAAGATATTTTTTCAAATTTAACATAATCTGGCGGCAACGTCAAGGCTACTACATTTGTATACAAGAATCTCTGAAACAAAAGCACATATCAGTAAAGCATTTTTGCGATAATCTAATTGACTTGATTCTAATGAAAACTGATAGTGTTGGCAACATCAAGCATCCATTGATATTCAACTAAATAGAAAGACTGACAATTGGCACACTCTTGCGGCAACGTCGGAGCTACTAAGTTGGTGTAAAAACATTTTTGAAACAAAAATGCATCCTACTATAGAAACACAGAAGTGTGACATATTTTTTATTATTTATTGTTTCATGAAAATTACCACTTTGAAACTCGAATTCTCGATTTAAATCTCGAAATAACTATTACTGAAGTTTAATTCCGTTATTATTAACACTTCGACACGTATTTCAATCACCAGGTGATCATCTTCAAGAAGAATATTAAAGATTGAAGGAGTTTAATCCCAACACGAAACCCTTATTATCAAAACCTCGACACGTGTTTCAATCACCACACGTGTCGAGGTGTTAAAAATAACGGTTTGGTGTTGGGATTGAACTTTAGTAATGTATTATGTTTAAAATATGTTTTTTTCCGTTAACCCGCTATCGCACCCCTACGAACGACAACTCTCAGAAGACGGTTTAAACTCAGTTTAAACAGTTTGATCTTCCCCTTGAAGATGATATGATCACTTTGTGATTGAAACACGTGTCGAGGTATTAAAAATAACGGCTTGGTGTTGGGATTGAATTCCATTAATAGCACTGTTTGGAACCTTCGGTGTAGTAATCACTATTACTGGAGCTTGATTCCAACACCAAACCGTTATTTTCACCACCTCAACACGTGTTTCAATCACCAAGTGATCATCTTCAAGAGGAATATTAAAGATTAAAGGAGTTTACAACACCAAACTATTGTTTTCAATACCTCTACACGAGTTTCAATCACCAAGTGATCATCTTCAAGAGGATTATCAAAGATTAAAGAAGTTTACAACACCAAACTATTGTTTTCAACAGCTCGACACGTATTTCAATCACGAAGTGACACATGTCGAGGTGTTAAAAATAACGATTTGGTGTTGTAAACTCCTTCAATCTTTAATATTCCTCTTGAAGATGATCACTTGGTGATTGAAACACATGTAAAACTTCAGTAATAGTCATTACTACACCAAAGGTTCCAAACAGTGCATTACAAGTTCGAAACTACGGCTTTAAAAAATGTTTACTTCAATCTCAAAATTTTGACTTTCATCTAGTAATTTCAATATTACAACTTCTATTTGGAAATTTCGAGATTAAAGTCGAAATTTCGAGTTTCAAAGTCGTAGTTTTTAAGAAACAAATAATAACAATATGTTGCCCGTCTCCTCTTCCGTATCCCAGCAACCAACAGTGTATTAACATTTTACGTTGCTCCAATGTGAACAATTATCTGAGAAACAATGTTGTCATTTTCGCTAGTATTATCGCTGTCATGTTTTATCACGCACCCCAAGTGATGAAAAACTATCCGAGAAATAAGTGGCACTGCGTTCAGATTGAAAATAGCGAGGACTCTGTGAAAAATAATATCACATGCGGCGTTTTTTAGGCAGCGACATTGTAAAGTTATATCATGCAGTAAATATTAGGTACCCCTGTTTTTTGCTTAAAAAACTTTCGACACTTTTCAACATTTTATCATTACTGAGACAGTTGTATTGAGGTTTCATTACTGAAACCAACACATTTTCGATAAATGAATCATTTATTGAAAATTTAATATTTCAGAAATTCAGCGAATCCGTATACTGAAACATTTTCCATATTTCAGGAGAAAAACCTCACGTATGTATGGTGTGCGGCAAAGGATTCAGTACATCATCGTCCTTGAACACACACCGGAGGATCCACAGCGGAGAAAAACCACACCAATGTCCTGTTTGCCTGAAACGGTTCACGGCTTCTTCTAACCTCTACTATCATCGCATGACGCACATCAAGGTAGGCCGGGATTTGAATTTTCACACGATAAAAATGTTTTGATTGTGGTAAGAATAGACAATCAAATCCGGTTATTATGGGAGTTCTGAATGTTTGTTACATATGAACAAACAACTATAAGTGCCTTTGACAATAACCGTCAATGAATTTGACAAAACTGAAACCCAGTAATATATGAAAACCTATATAGATATCTATAATTCAATCGTAGTTAGAACCACCTGTACCATATTGAATGATGCTATATATTTCATTCCATTGAAAACATTTTTGGACAAAACTGAGTATGATATCGTTCGTGAAAGGTTCTCAATCTAATATTAGAGGAAAGGAAATCAATTTGATCTATTGGAGACTTAATTTCTAAGCGACATTCCAAGTGGTTTTTTTCGGAGATACTTCAATAAAAAAATATTGTAATAACAGCAATTTCATAGTATTACTTTTTTGAAACAATGAAAATTGCTGACAATTTTCTGCTGTTTATGAACCTGATATTCAGTAAATTTCCCATTTTGATCTTTCGCATCAAAATTCCTGAATGAGCATTCTAGTCCTCTAAAATTCAGGAAATGAATTTGGACAACAATTATCCTCATAGAAATGTATTCCATGATGAACTAATGTTAGCTGCAAAACACTGAAGTGAAGACGAAGAGAGTATATATGAATATTTAATACTCTTGCTAACGGAATATTACGTATTGCAAACTTTCGTTTGAGTAATTTTTCATATTGTGAACGATGAAAATTTTCAGGAAGATACATAGAAAAGTATATTACGGGAGGAAAGTATGGCATTCTCGTCCGCGAAATTTTGACAAAATCATGGGCGAGGATGGCCTACTTTTCACCCGTGGTACGTATGCTATTTTTTTTCTCACTGCGGGATGGAATGTTTGATCCTTTCGTTGATTTAGCGTTTTTCAATCATAAATTAAAAATATAACTGTCGTCAGGTATTTCAAGTTGCATTAGACAGTTTGATTAACAATTCGTCGCTAGGTTATCGAAAGGAAAAGTAAGTTATGAGCATGCGCGTTGGTGTTATCTAACCGGGAGACAACGAGGCACTTTTGTACTGCATAAAGGAGAAGAAAAGCGAACTTTCTATCCCGCAGTGAGAAAAAAACTATTGTTTTCCACACAAGAAATAATCTTGTACCTAGAGAGTAATAAATACTTCAGTAACGATGTCATATTGACATTAGGACAGTTATAAGGAATGATATTGAGAAAGACATGTAATCCAGCTCAAGAACGTCATAATGGTAAGGTTAGGTTTTCATATGTAATGTATGTATGATCTGCGAACTACACGACGGCTTCCATGGGAGTTTCATTCACCTTCACCTGACGTCATCCGTCACTCTGGAGACGGATGATTCACGCTCTTGGTTCGTTTGCTCGATCACTTCATATTTATATGAACTGTAATATAACTGTAAAATCATGAAAAACCATCATGAGAGATATCTCTTAACTAAAGTTAGTTTGACTTCTAAGGAAATGTAAGGAAAACTACAGAAAGGTGTCACTAAGTTCAATGTTTACATTTATTCTCTGTACTTAATAAGATTCAATTTCAAAATGCCGAATAGAAACAATGTAGATGACCAATGTATCCAAAATATCGGAAGAGGTCTCAATCACTTTAAATATATATTGTATATATGCAAATGTGACTCCAAACCGCGACTCAACTAACCACTAACGATGCAATTACGATAAAATCTGATGCATTTTCAATGTTTTCTAACTGCGTATATGCATTTTAAATTCCTCCAGGTTTTCCCATGTTTCATAATAAATCTTTTGTCCGAGATAACGCACTGTTACACCACTCTTAATTACTTATTTGATGTACCATGTGAAACATTGATTATATGGGGCAGTAGTGAGCCCTGTAACGCTCCTTGAAATCCGTGTGAAAACTTCTTCAAGAAGTCATGCTTGGCCTGGCTGAGACCTTATTGTTCACCACATGTCATCGACGGGTAACCTTGTGGTACCCCTTTACCTTTGACTTTGGTGTTTACTTCGATACGGTCGAGTTAGCGGGATGTTCTTTATTGAAATAGTCACGTCTTTGTGTGGTTTTTGGTACGGTTACACTTGTTCCACTGAAGGTGAAAGAAAAAGAAGCGAGAATATGGTTATGCTTTTATTTGTTATTCATTATTCATTCCATTTAATGGATGTAGGTTACCGAGTGATTTGCCATAAACTGAAGATTATTCGGTTCTTCGGAAAGCTTGAAAAACGACAGATTTGCATTGATATTCAGACGTATTGGTTGAAAAAAGTGAGATGATTATATTTATAGAGATCATTATTGGAATTTCTGTTGTTTGATTGAACATTAAGAACCAAGATTCAATAGATTCTCATTGAAAGTATGTACATCACCCTATGATGGAAGTCGTTCAATAGAAGTACAGAACAGACTACAAATTTGTATTCGTGTCGAAGTGTGGTAATATTATAAGTACTGAACCATAATTCTGCTGTTTAACCATAGTTTTGAAAGATGCAACTGAAAATATTTTGAATATTGACAAAAAGATGACGAAAGGCATTCCACAATACGTAAGAGTAGCAAAATTGTGTTCATTATAATGTTTGAAATGACTTTCCAATTATATCATTATATGTGACCGATTTTTAAAACATTGAAATTGATATAGTAAGCTATCTACGCAAGATAGTCATCGCAGACTTTTCTATAGATTTATAAAGAAAAACAATAGAACAAGAACAAGGGATGCCTAATGGAGAAGAACTAATTGAACAATCCCAAATGTGACAAGGAATATAACCTCGTATGGATATACAAAACTAGCACTAACGCCAGAACTGGAACACCTTTTCAACGCGCGTTTCACCAACCAAGTTAGCGTATCTGTATCCCTGCCTACGGTGAGTGTAGGTCCACATCACTTAGGCCACATGCGACTCATTGTACACCCTCCCGAGGAGTTGTCCTCCTAGATCATCGTCCATCCTGTCCTTTCCAGAGGTGGATAGCTCACTTACCACACACTCTCTTATCGATGATAACTCCGGACCCTCGAATAGGATATGCCTGACAGTTTCATCTTTATGTTCACAAATCCTGCATAGAGCTGTGTCCACTAGCTCCATATTATGGATGTGTTTCCTTAGTTGACAGTGGCCAGTCAGAAAATCTACTGTTAACTGTAGGTTTTTCCTGATCATTGCCAGATATTTCTTCGGCTCCAGCTTCCCAGGGTCGCCCAGGGTGATCCTGGCAAGATTGCATCCTTTGATTCCATTCCATCTCTTTAGGGATTGAGCATGGGTGTGACGTTTGCCTAGTTCCGCATTTGTCGAAATCATCAGGCTGAAGGTATCACTGGGTCCTAAAATTTTTAGTCCAGTCGCTTGCTTGACTGAAGAGTCGGCAATGCTATTACCTCTACTCATGTTGTGCCCTTTAACCCACCTCAGGGTTATTATCTACCGAGGCTTTGGCTAAATCTTGGTGGCAGTCTAGCACTAGTCTTGAGGTAACACGTTGTCTGTTCAAGGCTAATAAGGCTCATCTACAATCAGTACAGATTGTTATTTTTTGCCAGAAATTCCTTTCCTGGTTATTTGTTATTCCCATTCCCCACTCAATCCTCAGGCTGCAAGTATATCATAATGGAATTCAAAAATTAGGGAACGTTTCCAATCTATTTGTAGGAGTGAATTGTTACACTGAATCTTCTCTATTTATTTTCTGAGCATGTTACTCAACTTTAAAAAGATTAATTCTCCAGCTTATGATTCGTTCATTCGAATAAAACTGATAAATACGCTCCTACGTATTCTCTACCTTCATTTTTATTTCATTAAAATCTTCATCACCTTACCTCAGTCCACACACAAAAAATCCTAAATCTTAATGTGAACCCATTTCTTTACAGTTTGACGTCTGTATCCGTTGACCTATTTGCTTTCATTGATGCTACCTGCTCGTCACTATGACAAATCTGATTTTCTTAATTCCTATAAAGATTGCCATCTGATTAGTACTAATTCACCCTTTTCAACAACAGAACAACGAGTTAACCCATAATGCGGCTCGAGACGTTTTTGGCTTTCCATATGTTCCCGGTGGGACGGTAAAAAATCGAAATTATTGTAATTATGACATAACACATGGTGAATGACGGTTGATTGGGCGCGATCCCGAAGATGCACCTGTTACTTAGCTAAGAAGGGATATTTAACCGAATGTTTGATAAGAATCTGCTTTGTGGCTTATGTTTTGTTAGGACTGCTGGTTTGTTGGCGTTTCGATTCGCCATTTGGCATAGTAATTGATTGAAATGGAGATAAACAAATTCAAAATAGGAATTGAGGTATTGCAGGTGCTAGGAAATGGCAGGTAGACCTATACTGGAATAACTTCCTTACCTTTGTATAAAGATAAAACCGTGTAATAAATTTCAACCCACTATTTACTTACGTTCTATAATAGAGGTGGTATTAATTATATTCAAAACCAAAACAAAATTTCGATGAAAAATACTATGGCGAGCCAATCATCAAATAATGAAATTAATTCTCGGAGATATTAGGTCCAAATAACTTTATTTCATTTTGTTCAGTAATCGAACATTATTGTACCTGATATCTTAACGAGTTGCCTAGCAACACTTGTTGTTATTGAAAGCAATGACGTTTTAGTTTACTTTCGACCAGTTCTCACTCAAAAACACAAAACTAAAAATTTCACTAAACATCTGTATAAAATGTACATGTCGACAGCAACAAAGATTATGATAATAACCATATATATACTTATTATAAAACGAACTGTCATAATTCAACTTCAAGTACCTACAGTGTGCCCTCGTCTCTAATATTTATTACGGCAAAACATCCACGGTTGTACATATACTCAACTACTTTTCAACCAACCCTATAAATGAACCATATTAGGTAAATATAAAATAGGCTCCTATTTTCTATATACTCTGCTGTATAAC